GGTTTTGTTAACCTGATAAAAGCTGTTGATGCTGACCTAATCTGAATTGTAGATTTGAAAAGTGAAACAAGAAGCACAGCAGTAGGATCACATCATTTTGTAGTCACAGGAGAACCAGTGATGATAGCCCCAGAATTTCTGTGGGTGACAGCAGACATTTCAGGACCTGAAGGGCTTCATCTGCCTTCAGCTGTCAGAGCATGGAGAGGAGCCTGGCGTCAGGCAGAAGTGGCTGTTGCTGCAGTTTGAAGCTGGCTGGCCAGTTCTACTGCAGGTGGTTTGTCAACTGCAAGCTAGGATAGTGGAGCTTTGCAAGTCATGACAAGGTACCTCAGTCAACAGACTGTGGATGAATGTAGACCATCACTTTCCCTCATGCTGTTTGAGAATTCTATTCTCTAAAAGTCAGATATTATTTCAGGAACATCCAGCAATGTGCCCTCCTAAAACAGCCAGCAAATCTGTTAACCAGAAGGACAATGCCAAGGTGCTGGCAGGGGACTAACAATTCAGCAAGGACAGAAATTAGCTAAACAACAGAAATAATTTGATAGTAATTCAGGTACAGAGGTGATCCAACCAGGAATGAAAAACACAAGAAAATCAATTCACAAAAAACTAAACTCCAAACAAATTAACAGTGGAAGCACCAAACTTCAAATAAGCCAGAAATAAACAACAAAAAAACCCAATTCAATACAAAAGGGACAGTCCCTAAGCAAGTGATACATAAATTGCAATTTTAAAAAGAAACATCTGTGTAGAATTTGCATATGCAAGAAAATTGGCACTAGGGACTACAGTGCCTTAAGTGCAGCAAAAGCAACCAAACAACAATTTGAAATGCAGCTTTCAGAAAGTTAGTTGTTCATGCTGAGAGTACTGCAGGATGGGTTTCAGGTGCGGTTAAAAGCTGTAAGTAATGTCAGTGATTGGTCTTTTCCAAAACCTCCACTGGTTTTACTCTTAACTTTTTCCCAGCCTCTGCTGGCGAATGTTGTGTGGCCTGCAATAGGAGACAGTTGGGAAGGGGATGGTTCCTTCTGTCCATCTGCCCTCCCATGACAAATCTCCACAGGACAGTTCAGTGCTCCAGGTGAGGAATTCTGGCAGAGTGAGGATTGTCAGATATCAGTCTACTAGGGACAAGGGGTGAGGAATATGTCCAAAAAGGCCTGCTTCTGCTGGGGGGCAAGGATCAGGTTGGCCATGGCTTCCCACAGCTCCCAGCAGCTGGAGTGAAATTTCTCATCAGGATGTTGGCAGTTTGGGGGAAGAGGACTTAAGTCTTGGAGATGGTCCGTGCAAAGCCCATGATCCCCATCTCTTTAAGGTGGAGGAGGGATGTAGCATGTCAGGCCCTGGTGGGGTGGGCTGTGTGCTCCAACAGTGTTTGAGAAGCCTGTTGACTGCACAGCACATATATGACCTCAGGATCTGGTGGGTTGTCATGGTGATCCCGTACGCTTTGTCCTGCTATAAACTGACTTACCAGATTGAGTTTGTGGTGCATTAAAGTTTTGCCTCTCAGGAGTGCACCAGAAACACTGATTATTTTGTTTAATTGGAAAGCACCTTCTAATCATCTTCACTTGTCCTGTTGTCCCCAGTGCAAAGCTGCTGCAGTACAAGTTTTGATGCAAAACTTGCATGGACTTTGCTGAGGGGGGAAATAAACAAGCTGTTACCCTGTAATGATTGCCCTGAATTGTGCTCAGTAAGGGACCTCGTGGCAGAAGTCACTAACTCCCTCCCTGTAGGAAACTTTGCATTAACTACATGCTAGCTACTTACAGTCCAGATGCTTTTTGCCTTGAAGTGGCAAAGCAATGGTATAAAACTGTTCTCTAATGGCAGGGTGTAGCAAGGGCTACATAGCACAAGGTCACTGCTGAGAATTCCAGGCTTAGGTACAGTTTTTTGGCCCCTGTGCATTTGTACAATCATTTAATGTATTTTAGCTTTAAAGCTTTATCTGCTTAATCCAAAGTCCTGCTAAACTCTGCAAAATTGCCATATATATATATACGCGTATTCCACATGATTCACCATGAAGTCACATGCAGCAGTGCTCCTCAGGCTATCCAGCAGAGTACTTGCAGCTTATGTTTGCTGCTGAGGTTTGTAAGAGCTAGCACTGACTTGGTTGAGATCTGAAGACAACAACGAGCTAAACAGCGTGCAGGGGGTTATGTATCTCAGCATTGATCCTTTGCAGTAGAAAGGAGGTCAATGTAAATGATCTGGAGGATTGGTTACAGGTCTGTTGCAGGTGGTGTTGCTGTGAGCGTGCCCATCCTGACAACACGCAAGGGAGAATAGAAGTCAGGGGTGGCTGTCACAGATCCACAAAGGCTTCTTTGTTTGACACTGGCCATTTAGCCTGGGGTAGCAGGTCAGGGTATGAGGGTGATTTGATAGGAGATGTGCTTGAAATATTAAATCATAGCTTCATAGAAAATCAGGAATGTTGGAATAGAGATGCTTGTGTATTTGTAGAAATTTTTTTGTTTAACAAAGCAATCACTAGCAAAGACTTGCTAAGAGAAAACAAAAATGTGTTATACCTTGGCTGAACACTAGTTTCTTGATAAATAACAACAGCTGATTTGTGGACTAGGTTCAGGATAGCTGTTGCATGGAGGGCGATTGCCTTCATCCCTTTGGAGGGCAAGTGCTATGTATGACCCACAAGGCAGGTTTCTCCCTGCACTTTCTCATCAGGAGGTAGCTCTGGTTTGATGCACTGACTCTAAGCAGATTGTGGTGTCGGAAGCTGGTGGGTCACGTGCTGACCTGAATGTCTTCTGATTGACACCCACCATTCCCACCTTTCCCATGAGGCTTGCCCACTGTTGGTCTTTGACTGGTTGTGAATGGGAGGAAACTCTCTGGTGAGTTTTTGGGAGTTAGAAGAACAGGTTGGCATTTCTTGTGTTCTTTTTTTTCCATTTTTCTCCTCTCTGCATCCTAGAGTTGAGAAATAATTGCATATCAGGTCTGCAAACAAGTAAACTCTCACGTTTTTTTTTTCATGTTTGTTACTTCCATTAGAAATGACCATATGCTGTTGGGGGGAAAAGTTGTTGAGGATGCACAGCACTTAAAATCACTTGAACAAATGTTTAACGCTACAGTTTTAATGCTAATAAAATAACAACTTTGCTAAACATTGATGACTCACTACCTAATTTTATATCAACCAAAGTTCTGAAGAGTCTGGTCCACAAACAGATAATTCAGATACTGAATTATTGAAGAGAAGAACTTAGATTGGATGCTGAGATAGCAATTTCTTGAAATAAAAGCTTGAGCTGATACTGTTACACTTTTAAATAAAGCTATCTGTTCTTGATATAGTTCATAAGTAATCCAGGTCTTAAGACTAAGGATGAAGGGATCTGTACACTACCAAAACTTTTTCTTGTTGTACAAATTAACAAACAAAAGTTGGCAGTACTTAGAGTATAATTTATGTATTTTCTTCCCATTCTTTCTTGATGATGGATTCACTGTGTTCTTTTTAGTTAGCTTTATCAGCTTCCTAACTGGAGCTTATTAAATGTTACTTCACTATAATGAGCTATATTTATTTCATAGGATGTTTGTGTTGGCAGCTGCCTGCATACATTCAATTCAGTGCTTTTGTGAGCATTACACCAAGACTTCCACAAAAGCTCATGTTATCTGAACACCGGAAAAGGGATCCCTCAAATGAAACTTGATTTGATCAATCTGTGAACTATGAAGGACCACACACAACGGTGTGGTTGTACTTCTGATGCTAGCATTCCCTTAATTACAGGGTACCCATTCTTCTTTCATGAAAATGGAAAAGGCTTGCTTACCCCCTTGTTTTTCCACTTGGCCACCCTGTGTATGGTCTTGGCAACACGAAACCCGTATTTACGTAGAAGTCTGTGCATTTAAGGGAATGTGGGCACAGTTACAGCTGTGTGAAGAGACTCACACAGAGCTTTTAAAATATTTATGGGTGTAATTTCTATTTCTTGCTCAGACCAGCCCTTTTCTTGTGGTATGCACCAAATGTCAGTGTGCCTCATATCTGCAGTGCAAGTTTGTGATTCGGCCTTATTTTTCTAAGTTTCTGAATTCTTACCCAAGTAACTTGTTTTTTTATTTTAAGGTGTATTTATAGGTTTGGTCAGTTCTTCCTGCCCACATAGAATTAATGTTCTCTCTGTCCCCTGTAACTGCTCTTTCTTTCTTCTGGTTATTGTAAAGCATACCAAATAATTACATCATTACCAGATTTTGCTTTTCCTGTCTGGGTGAGATAGCCTACAGGAAGAATATTTCCAAGTTTTCAGAGTTTTAAAAAATGCTTCCTTGAACATATGAGATGAGTTGAATCTGTAATTTCTGGAGCTGTTGTTGTTTCTTTGAATTTATATAAACACTTACAGAAAGTTTATTAAGATCCAGGTGCATTCCCAGCAGCAGAGGTATTCTAATATGCCTTATTTCCCTGAAAAGTGAATGCTCGAATGGTGTTATGACTTGACTTTTGTTTGGAGAAAGGGAGGTATTGTTTTGTTTCGTATCATGTATACCAAAGTGCATTTGCTGTTGACAGTCAAAACAGGCCTTCCTACCCAATAGCTCTGCGAAGTAAATTTGGAATCTTCATTTTATGCATTATTAACAGCAATATTCATATAATTGAGAGTGAGGAAATGCTACAGTAATTGCAAACTGAAACCTTTTCTTACAACTGTAGTAGTTCTACAGTAGAAGTAGTAAAATAAATGTCTGTAGTAAGTAATTTTGAGTACAATAATTTATTGTGCTCAATAGTGAGTTTATTATAAAAAATGCCATTCTTTGTTTCTAGAGTGGATTTTTAAAAATATTTTATATTGAAAGTGAGAGATGTAATGTATTGCATCAGTGCAATGTATTATCTTGTGCAGCTGTGTTCTAACATACTGCTTTTACATCTTTTTATTTACAACATTTTACTTCGTATTTTTTTGCAGTATAAAGAAATGTAAAAATTATTATGAAGTCCTTGGGGTGTCAAAGGATGCAGGTGAAGAAGACCTAAAGAAGGCTTATAGAAAACTTGCTTTGAAGTTCCACCCAGACAAAAACCATGCACCTGGAGCAACAGAGGCTTTTAAAAGTAAAATTTTAAATTTATTATTATTTAAATAAAATATTATTTTTAGTATTTATAAAATATTAAATTTTGTTATTTAAATAAAATTTAAAATTTCTTTGGTGATTAAGCTTTGTCAGATTAAAAGAAATTCATCTGCATTGATCACTTGTCTTTTTACAAAATTGTCAATGTAGTGTTTTGTAGCTAATATTAAACAGACATTTTTATCCAAAGAAATATTTGACCTTTATTATCTTAACATATACCTATAAGTATAGATAAATAACGTGGACTTTTGCAGGAGGGTTCAGTTTCAGAGGATTCACTGTAATTTTCAGGTACAGGGAGCGAATACTTGATCTGTGAAACCCAATTGCACTTTTTTACTGTTGTTGACTTAATGTAGTCAATTGAATCTTACTATTTTGAATCTTTACTGTACTTGAGCTTGAAAAAAACAGAGTAATACTAGATAAGAAAATGCAGTTTTTACTGAATCACATGCCATGCTAAGTTACCTTTTCCTTAGAATTCCTTGTATGTGTGTAGTTTTACTACTTCTTGCACACAAAAACACTTGGGTTCAACCATGGCCTTATTAATAGTTGCCTTTAACTATTTCTTAGGTAAAATTTACAATCTGACTTGACCTGATTTAAGGCTGCCAAGCTTAGCCCTGCACAAGGGAAATTGTTGAGGAAAAGCTTTTTAAAGAAAACTACACCTTCATCTCAGACACAGATGAAGGAAAATGTGAACCTGTAAGAAATGATCATGCATAAATAAACAATCTGATTGTGGTACTTTTTTTTTTTTTTCCTGTGTGAAGTTTACATGCAGACATTTGAAAAAAATCAATTGGGTAAAACTCTTAAATTAGGGGAGGGGAAAAAAAAGAGAAAAAAAAAAAAGTCCTGAGCAAGACTTCCGATACAGACTTAAAGAGGTAGTTATAATAGTATATTAACAATTCCAGATGAAAAGTAGCTAGAACATAGCAGGAAAGTTGATTGCTCATGATTATTTTAATACATCTATGTGATGGCTTTATCTAAAAAAGATATTATTCTTATAAAATTGTCTCCAGCCCTATGAATAAAATAATTCTTCTTTGTTAATAGTATTTTAAATAATCTTTAAAATGTTAGAAATCAGTTTCTTATTATTTAATCTTTTATTTAACATTAGCACTTTGTACAGGTTTGCTTTCTTCATCTTAATTTCACTTTCTGGTTCTTAACTAGATGAGTAAACGAACAGAAAATTTTGTAGGGGAATCTTGTTGACTAAAAATTATTTAATAACATTAGCATTTTTCTTGCATTGAAATGATTGTGATCTTTTTGTATGGCTGAGTAAATTTATGATTTAGTTTGCCTTTAAAGGTGTCTGATGAGTTTCTAACATCCAGCTGAGAAAAGGAGTTTCAGAATAATAGCTATTATTTCATACTAATGCTTTATTTTAAGGAAAGGTCACATTAGAAAACAGAATTGAGTTTCGTGTTAGGCAAGGTACTTTTCTTAGGTCTCGAGCTACGTAGTACTACTCTTCTGTTGTATTGAGCAGTCTCCCTGAGGTTATATTTTAGATTACAAAGTTTGTGCAAATATAATCACTTTTAGTCTCCTGGAATCTCTCTTACCAACTTCATCAAAAATCTTTCCTTGAAACTTTTGAGCAGTTTTTTTCATTTTTTTATGTCCTTTATTTGAAGAAAATTATATTTTAATGAAATCTGTTGTGGATTAGCATCAAATAATCAAAAGCAAACAAATAGTCAAAAAAGATTGCTGACCATACTGTGACAGTATGGTGTCTTCACTTTGTGTAGTTACCTGATTTATGTCTCCCTAAATTCTTTATTGTTGGGAAAATCTAACTTTTTACTGCCAGTTCTATCCTCATGCTGAGTAACAGAGAAACCTTGTAGCTATATTTGGTGTCAGTAGTGTATATCATGCTCTCATTGCAAATTACCAGGCTTCATTTCTTTGGGTTTTCTCCTCCACTTAAAGGAATTACTAATGATTGTTTCTAAGGGCATTTTAAAAGGCACATAGCTAAGACTCATTATTTTTTTTTTAGATTGGATAGTGTTGAAAACTTTAATTATGCAAAGCCATAGCCTTATTTGCCTGTGTTGAGGTTATAGTGTTGCACCTTTCATGAACTTTTGATGACTGATGGCTTTTCGACACTGAAAAACATAATCCCTGTGCCTCGTGTTGGTTGGCTGCAAAAGCAGCTTTTTGTTGGAGAGGCCTGGAGGAGAGAGAATAAGGGAAAGTAGAAAGGGTTAATGAAGATATGGCTCAGTAAAGATTGTTCATCAAGTGCCAACAGGAATTTTCCTTCAGTCTGCAAAAGTTGTATGTCTGTGCACAGCAACTAGGGTTAAAGCTTGTAAGTCAGCAGAGCTTGTGGTTTTTCACACTGATTCTTTCCATACTCACCTAACTCAGTTTTTCCCTTCCTACTGTTAAAAGTGAAGTTGTTCATTTGTGATAATGTGGCGTGAACAGGGACAAGCATCCAGGCCAGGCACTCCAAACATTGAGGTCGTATTGACTACCTTAGGAACAGAGGTGTTCCTGTCATATACACATGTTGTACCCTTAATGTTACGTCATGCAAAACTTTGTGTTATTAATGGAATCCATAAAATATCTTGAGAAGCGTATAGAAAAATACATTCACACTCTTGTAGGCAATAAAGTTGATGCATTCGAAGAAGTCACCACTTATCACATGAAACTGAAGAAAACCTATTGAGTCTATGATGTTTTTAAGCTAGGCTGCTAGAGCAAACTGAACTTTGCAATTACCCAGCTTCAAAGCTTTCACTGTAATGCTTGAGGCTTTTTTTGCAATTGCAGTGAGAGAGAACATTTCCACAGGTGTAGGTGTTCCCCTAGAAAAAGAAACAAAGCTCTACTGCCTTCTGCCTAGTTCAACAGGATAAAAGGCCTTTGAATAGTGTTGGTGGAAGCTATGTGGAAGCTATGCTAAGAAAAGTAGAGATGTTTCTGAACATTGTTTTACTATGGTTGATTTGTAACATGCAGTAAAGGACATAATTCGCTGTCTATTCTTGACTTTGAAATTGCAATTTTCATGCTGGAATAGCTCTTATCTTTCATTTATGGGAGTTGTCTTTTATTCCTTGCTTCAGAAATCGGAAATGCATATGCTGTGCTGAGTAATCCAGAAAAACGAAAGCAGTATGACCTTACAGGCAGTGAAGAGCAAACATGCAGTCACCCTAGCAACGGTAGATTCAACTTCCATAGAGGTTGTGAGGCAGATATGACTCCAGAGGATCTATTCAACATGTTTTTTGGAGGGGCCTTTCCAACAGGTATTTGTATACATCAGTATAATCATCAGGATACAGTGGTACAGCCCAGAGTGGCATTAGAGTTTGTGACATTATAAAACAGTAAAATTACTCCAACCTGCCTCTGACCCCAACTCTTTAATCTGCATCACAGTTTACTTTTCCCCCAAAGTGTTGCTAAACCCCAAAAATGTGAGTTCAGTTCTTTGGGGTTACTGTTATGATTCTGCAGTACATGAAATAAAAAATCAGTTGTCTTAGAGCTTAAAATACTTATTTTAAACAATTTTGAAATTGTAAGGTATCTTAAAGTTGAGTTATTTTACATGTCATTGTGCAGTAATGTTAAATGCTTTATGTTGCTGCTTCTGTATTGACCTCTAAATAGTTTTTTTTACACAATTTAAATGTGGATATTTCTTTTCTTAGGTGGTGTACATTCATTTTCTAATGGTCGTGCTGGCTACAGTCATCCTAATCAGCACCGTCAGAGTGGACATGAGAGGGAGGAAGAGAGGGGTGATGTATGTTTAAGCACCATTGACTTTAAACTATGAATTGTGAAGTTTGCTGGTACTTGCTTTCAGTGATGTGATTGCACAGGAGCTCTGTACTGTAGAGGAGGATTTGTACCTGCCAGTTATGTATTTTAAAACTTTGGCAGGTGGTAGTCTTACTGATTGGTAGATAGACGTGCACATTTGAGAAGATAACAGCCTGGTTTTGTAAACCTATTGTTGTATGTCACTATCTTACTAGTGACTGGTAGTATTAGCCTAAATATGCCACTAATTCTGGTCACTAATCCTTGTCTACATTTAAAAATTTATTTGGGCTGAGCTAAGAATTGAACTTAAGGCTCGATATTCATCTATATGAACTATATATAGTCCTGTATAATTACATATCACTGTATAGATGAGACCAAATCAAGGCATACAATGTAACTGAATCCAACTATTCATTTGGTAATTGCTTGTGGCTACATGTTAACACATGAACTCTTGCAGCTTGAGCACTCTGTGAATATTGTGTATGCATTGCAAAGTTAAGATAACACCACAGTGTTTGCAGGTTTGTAGTTAGAGTTTTTCTAGCAGCTTTTGGTGGTTAAAGCAGAAAGTCACACTTAGGATTAAATCATGTCAAACTTACCTGTTTACTTGATGCTGTTTTATAAAATACCTGAATCTGTTTTGTTCCTTAGGGAGGTTTCTCTATGTTCATTCAGCTGATGCCTATTATTGTGTTGATCCTTGTCTCCCTGTTGAGCCAGCTGATGGTATCTAACCCTCCTTATGCCTTATACTCAAGATCGTAAGTAATGTTCAATTACATTAGCTTGGAAAAGAGGGGAGGATATTGTAATCACCCTCTCCCACTTAGAAGAATTTTAGAGAGCCTTCCATTAGTTGGTCCTTGATTTCCCATAGTGAGGAAAGGGAGAGCAGGTATAGACGAAGCAGAACAAAACTTGAAAGTTAGGTACTAAGAACATGCTGTGAGAATGTAATGGAGAAAAGAGGTCAGCAATACCTGGTGTTTAGGAGGTCTTCTAATACAAGGCAGTGGGTCCATGCAATGTAGCATGTTGCAAAGGTGTTTGCACCTCCAAGGCTCATTATTCTTTTAGGGGTCAGCTGTGCTTGTAGCAAGTGAAGTGCTTGAAAGCAATTTTATCATCCTCATTTAAGTTTTGAACTAGATGAGGGCTGGGGAAATTGTCTAGTCTTTGCTTCATTCTAGGTGATGGCAAAATAGCTTATCTTCCATTTACTTGCAAAGAATTCTACTAGTGAAACTTACCTGTTTCATACAGTACGATATATAAACCTTTTTTCCTTGAGACAAATCAATAACATCAATCAAGCATGCAACTAGCTAGCAGACTGAGCCCACTCGCCACAACCATTTTAAAGGTCCTTAGTTCCTTGCAGAGCTCTCAGCCCCACAACAGAAAGGTTTCTTTTCTACTCTCTTATTTTTCAGAGTTCTTTATTTCCAGAGTGTGATGTTTTTCCCTTCTGCAACTAAGCTGTTGGGATGCTTATAAACACTTCTCTGCCAAAATGTTTGTGCACAATCTTTGATTTTTAATCTGCAGAATGCCAGCAGGAAAATGGATTTGTCAGGGCTGGCAGAAAACACTTTAGAATGGAGATGCCTGCACTGGGTTGCTACAGAATAGTGACCTGTTTTTCTTTCTGTTGAGTTTGAATGTAATTTCCTATTACCAAAGCTCATATTTGCCTAAAGAGGTATGAAAAAAGTTTCTTACTAAAGTGGGTTTTTTTCAAGACCAAGGGTTAAGCGACAGAAGTTTAGTGTTCAGGTAAATGTAGTAATTTTGTTCTCTGGCAGATTATACAGCCGTTCTTTTCATGACTTGTCTTGAATGGCAAATTCGGTAATGTGCTGTTCTTCTGTAATAGCAATGGTTTTAAAAGTGTATTTGTGGTGTAAAAAAAAATAATTAAATAAATATCTAGTCTCTCTCCCCCCGCCCCTCCTTTTTTGCAGAAGTACAGGGCAAACCATAAAAATGCAGACAGAAAACTTGGGTGTCGTTTATTATGTCAACAAGGACTTTAGAAATGAATACAAAGGAGTGTCATTACAGAAAGTGGAAAAGAGTGTGGAAGAGGATTATGTGTCCAACATTCGTAATAACTGTTGGAAGGAGAGGCAACAAAGTAAGTTTGGTAATATGTGTAATTTCCTGAAAGCATGCATTACTATAAAAAAAGATTGCCTGAGGCAAGAATGAAGTGCTTGTATTATTAAGGTATCTGAATGAGAAAGCAAGTGTAAGGTTCCCTACTGTTTCTCACTTCTAAAAGTGTGCCCGGTGTCACTTAAATTCTGTGTTTTACTCAGTGATCTAATCAACGATCTGCAAATCATCAGCAATTTTAACCTGCTACTCTATTATCTGTGACCATTTCTCAGAAAATTAAAGACTACAGTGAATTGATAATGAGAAAGAAATTGCTCTAAATTAAGGATGAAAGCTAAGAATTCTAATCTCTTCCACATTATTTTCTCATGGTAGTATCCCATTTCCCTAGGTGCTTTTATATAAATAAATAACTAAAACAAAAGCTTACATGGGTGTTTCCGAGGAAGGAAAAAAATAATCTGCCTCGGACCACAGTACATACAAACACTGCTTTTCCAGGCGACCAAGGACACGCATCATGTCCTCTGAAACATCATGAACTGTAAATTAGGGCTTAATCTTTTGCCAATGCTGAATAATTTTTCTTCCTGGACTTGGTACCCTAGCTATATCAGACCTTAAAAACAGGCGGTTTTTTAGTTTACCATCTATTTTTCCAATCTAATTTAATATTATACAAGGAGCTATTTTCTTTCAGAAGACTGGAATTCAGTGTTAAAGCATAAGAATACTGAATAGCATCAGCCATCTCCAAATCATCGTCAATTTTAACCTGTTATTCTATTATCTGTGGCCATTTTGTGAGCCTTTCATGCTCTGTGAGAACGGTGCTGCTAAAATAACATCAGTGTTGAAATCGGATGGTTTCAACTTTTCAGCTGATAAACTTCAGTAATAGCTTACTGGATAAATAATTCATTTATGAACTGTCAGTAAACTGACCAGAAGCAAACAGAATGCTGTTCTCTGAGTGAAATCGTGTATTCCCGCACAACTTTACTCTCTGCAGTCCAGTGATGCCAAACCTTTCAGCTGAGATGGCCCCTTAGTTTCTCCCAGTTGTAGAAGACAGCCCAGCATCACAGCTAGTCAAATGCCTGAACAGGACTGCACGCATTCATTACAGTTGGCCTGTATGTATACAAATACAAACTGCATTGCCTATGCATAGCAGGCCCAGTGCTTCCTGGAGGCTTTATGCTCCTTACTCGTGAGTACACATTGCTTATGCACAAGTAAATCTCTACAGTTTTACAAATGGCCCACAGGAAAGACCTGTGGGCAGAAAACTGTGCTGGGTGGGTCACATGTAAGCAAGAGAAACACCAGTGCTTTGGAGGAAAACTTTCAGATTATTGCCCAGACTACTAGATTTGGTCAGAATAATTTTTCCATGTTTTTTGAACACAGGAAATCATCAGAGAACTTTGGGGTATAATTCATAAGCAAATATCAAAAACTCTTGTATTTTTTCAACTAGATTGGCCTTTGATCGTCTTGAAATGTTTGTGTCTACTCTTCATGAAATGCATACCTAATTTTTCATCTCCAAGTGGTGGCTAGATGAATGATTGGTAATCTTATAATAAAATAGTTTACAAAAATGAGAGGTGGCTGTTAACAAAAAATTAAAGACAAGACATAATCCAGCACAGTAAAAAGAGGATGTATTATTTGAACGTTTTTTCAGCAGAGTGTAGATCTGGAAGGATAGTTTGCTTTTATTGACCTAGTCGGTACACTTGCATTTACTGGCGTGTTATATTTGCGTCTCCTGTAATATATTTACTGTCCAAATATCTTTGAAAAGGCTTAGTTGATATGCAATTTCCACCTGGGGAGGGAAAGAGGAGAAAGAATACCTTTCCCATTTTTCAGCATTTATTCTTGACATGCGTACTTTTTTAAGCATGAACAGACTCCTGGACAATGCAAAGAGGCCCACGCTTCTCTATGTACATATTACTGGGAAAAATGTGATGACTGCAGAAACATCTGACCCTAGTGTAAGGAAGAAAAATAACCTGAAGGTGGTGACTGTCACGTTGTTTGCTATTTGCAATTCATCAGGTTGTGAAAACTACCCAAATGGATTTTGAGTAAGCGGCCCCTAATAGATTTTCTCTATCTAGAGAAATAGCTGATTTTGTGGTTTTACGGGTTTAAAATACCTGTTGTGTGTTGGGTCTCCTTGACAGTTAAAATCTTTTCAGCATTGATTGACATTTAAGAATGCCTTGCTAATCCATTTTGAGTTGAAGGGATGAAAAAGATTTTATAGAATTAAAATGCTCAGCAATGTCAAGCTATTGAACACCAGCATAATACAGAGAGCTCTTTTATTAATACCTCTGAACACTGGCAGTCTGAAGCAGCATCAGTTGAAGTAATGGTCTTAACATTCAGAACAGATTTTTTGGGCAGAGACAAGATGCTAGATCTGTCAATAATACGCAAGATCACGGAGTGTGGCCTATATTTGTACTGTTTAATGAGGTCTGACAGAAGTAGTAAGGGATTTTTTTGGTTGTGTTTTTTTTTGTTGTTTTTTTTTTTTTAAATCAGGTACTGCTGTATGAAATATGAGGGTGCTGGAAGGCTGTTACCACTTTCCCTGCTCAAAAAGATGAAACACTTGTGAAAATCCAGCAAAGGGAAGCTGCAGACGTGCTGTTTAGGTGGCATCTGTGGATAGTTAGAATAGGCAGAATTTAAAAAGGGCAAGGATTAAACCTGAGGTGTTTTGTACAGCTCTGAGAAGGAATGCATCACGTGCAAAGTATTCAGTTTTTAACCTGAAAAATCTTTTCTCTTTTTTCCTTAAAGAAACAGACTTACTTTATGCAGCAAAAGTATATCGAGATGACCGTCTCCGAAAGAAAGCAGACTCCATGTCCATGGACAACTGCAAAGAACTAGAACGACTGACCAGCCTCTATCGAGGAGGATGAACTATAATTATACACGTACATCTTTACATATGCGGTTATCTCTCTTGTAAATTAAGAAGAGATTTAGTTTCACCATGAGTGCTGGAAAGAGGGGTGGATGTAAAACTCTACTGTGTAGCTGTTTCCAGAAACCTTATGCTGAAATATCATTTAATGGCTTCTTTACCTACTGTGAAATATAGGTAACTTTAATTGTCTAGATTTTACTTCAAAGCTTCTGTGAATTCTTTCAGCAGAGAGAATAGCTCAGAAAGGATGCTATACTTGTAGAGACTTAGTCATAGTGGTTCTCCTCTAACATAATTGCCATGTAAATATCTGTGGAAAGAACAATTTGTGTATATACGAGTTAAATGACTTTCTATTTAAAATCTCAGAAATTTAGTTCCATGCAACATTTTTGTCTCACTGATGGAATAAATAGTATGATTACATCACTCCTATTCAGATGTCAAGTGTGTGGAGTTGAAACAAGAATTTTTAATATTTTATCTCTAACTCTATGTAAAATCTTCTAGGTTTACCAGCTTAGAGGAACTTGGTATTTTTAAATATAATGGCATATATTCCTAAATATCTGTTGGGGTATATTGATCTGGTGTAGAGTAGCAGTTAGCTCTTGTAGTTTTTTAGCGTTTCTAAGCAATGCTGAGAAAACTAAGAACTACACTAATCTCTTTTCAAAGTAAATATTTGCAAATGATGTACAGACCACTATAAGCATTGCTTTTAGTACTTGCAACAGTTTACAGCAGCTCTACCATTTGGTATTACAGTAGTAGTAAGTCCATACGTATGGTTAACATGCATCCATAGCTTCCTTAGTTTTCACTGGAAAGGTAGAGGAAAACATGCAATAGTAAAATCTTAAAGGTAAAAAAAAAAAGGGGGCAACCTATTTTTTTTTTTTCCTGGCAGGCTTCCACTTTCTTACTATTTTTTTATTTCAAGTTAGGTCCTAACACTGGTTCAATTGGCACCACAAGTGGAACAGGGAAATACTGCTAAGGACAAGCTATGTGCCTTTCAACACTTTTGCCAAGTATTTAAATGCTTTGCTAGTTTGCAGTATGCTCCTATGGTCAGAGCCATATCACTTGGCCCCGGGGTGGAAGAGGTAGGTTATGCATTTTTCTGGACCAGAATGTTGCTGGACTGACTTCCTAGAAATGAGCAACATATCGTTCGGCTCCTACATGCAAGATCATGTAGCTCAGTGGCCTGTATGTAGAAACTAGAGGTAGCCACACCTGCTGATGCAAGGAGGTGTTTTGAAGCAGCCAAGTACAATGTACTTAAAGTTTATCGAAAGTGGGTTGAAAATGTTTTTAGGTTCAGTAGCTGATGTTTTTTACATTTTAACAGTGCTATGCAGGAGAATGTTTCTTGTATTTGAGAATGCCAGGTGGCTCATAGTAAGGACAGTATTTTTTGTTTGAGAAAACTGCTATCTTTGAACGATGCTATCAGTCTATGCAGAGCCAAATTCTCCTAAATTGAAAGTTTAAATACTTGACTGACTTAATTGGAATTCCTTCTGATCTAGAGCAGGATTTGACTTTAGAGATAGAGCAATACCATTTAGTGTAAGTGACCCAGAAATCATTTTTGCATATATACCTTTTCTAAACTGGAAATGTCCTCTACTGAATTGGTGTAACATGAGAGAGACTAGCTGCAGGCTTTTAACTAAGCAGCTGAACCAGCATTCAAGGTGGACATCAAAGCCTGAGGCACAAAGCAGAACTAAAAGCTGCTTAAACAAAAGAAGGGTTGCTGTACTGGATGTCCTTGCTAAGATCGTAGGAAAAGCGTGCGATAGAAATTATGGAGAAAACGTGATTCCCCAGATTTTGTAACTGTCCGGAATGTATTGTAATTATACTAATGAAAACAAACTATCAAAGTACATATTGGTACTCCTGTGTCTTCTTAATAGAAGAAAATTGTTCCAAAGGCTTTAACAAGTACTCGGGCCTTCCCACTCACAAATGAGTCCGAGCTTGCAGGTGATCTTTTAGTTAAGAGGAAAAAAGATATATAACACATTTGTCAAATATCAGAACAGTGAAGTCAGAGTGAAGAGATGGTCTTAGCAAAGCTGCTTTTAATAATCGGATGGGTTATGTCTGCCCTGCAGTTACTTCTGCTGCAGCTGAGAAGCAGGTAAATGGACGGATGTTGAGCTGTGTTAGGTTGGTTAGATTGCTATCAGCACCTCAGCAAACTGGAATAATGCAGTGGCTGTGTCCTGTGGCAACACAGACGTCCCAGTAGTTTAAAAGTGAGACCTAGGCTGCTACATTTCATTGGATTATCTATTGGAATTGCCACTTTCAAAGAAGGAAACAATTAATGTATTTAAAGTGGCAGAAAAAATGCTACTTAGCATTTAACATATTAAATAGTTGCACACTTTGAAATATGCAGAAGGATGCTGTTACTTCCTATAGCATAAAGATTAACCTGTGCTAAATATGGCCTGCAAACATTCCTTTAATATTCCAAGTGGGTGTTTCTCTCCTTATGATTGTTACTTTTTTCTCAAGTCTGAAGGGGGTTTTTTTCAGCAGTGTCATTATCTTCCCTGGTTTTGTTGAAGGAATCTGCGGGAAAGTTCAGAACGAATATTCTTATGAGCAAGATGCTAACTGAAGAGGGTGGAGTACTTGAATCTTTTCAGATGACCAAGGTGAAGTTCTCATTAAAATAACGTATTGGAAAGAAAAGGGAAAAACAAAACTGGTTTTGAACAGCCTGACTAAAAATCCCTCAATGTTTCTAGCCACCTAGAATTAACTCCTTACTCTTTTTATTTAGTCTTTACCTGTACTTAATCTAGAATTAAAGATCGCACAAGCATGGGTTCTTGATTTCTCCTTTAAAAGGGCAAGCAGGAAAGTCCTGCAAAAAGTGAAAAATCTTGGCGTGACTCTTTGACATGGCATAATGGAAAAGGGAGATGATTTGCATCTGCTGAAATATGCCATCAGTATGTGTTCTATTTATGGAGCATCCTGAGTCACAAGCGAGTTTGGTGTTCACATCTGATGAACATTTCCCTACAAGTTCTCTAACTGTTTAGGTAAAACAAGATTAAATCTGAATTTTTTACTTTTTTTAAACAGTCTTGATTCTTTTATAAGTTTCCAAGAAAAAGTAGAACATTATAGTCACTAAAGTGTAACAGATGCATTTCAATAGGCAGCAGAGACAACTTTATATAAATTTTTAATATAATTTTGTAATGAATGCTGGATTAAAATGGGAGGGCAAGAATATGTTTTTTAAGGTTGTTTGTTCCATAAATTTCATTCAGCCGCTAAACAGCTGTTACTCTTTCTTCTTGTAGATCTGTCAAAGAGAGCAGAAGGAAAATGTAATAGTAAAAGCAAACATTATGCTTTAAAAAAAAAAAAAAAAGTTAATATCCAAATTCCTGAAGCTGTAACTTTAAAAAGTACTAGCTTCCCAGTTGTCTAAATTGGGTTAATAGAGTGCAGTCAGTTTTGCCAGAGGAAGCTTGGTCATAACAAGTCATGGCGGCACCAGGGCTTCTGACTGCCAGTTGTGTCCCCCATCTACTCATCATTCATTATCACCTCGCAAGCGCCGCTGACCTCCGTGCCTTGCTTTCCCCATGCTCCTTTGTAAACCAGCGGGTAGAGCCTGGAGGAAAGGTGCCATGTAACAAATGTACAATTTTGTGCCATATTTAGCATATGATCAAGATACTTTTGGGAGCAACCAGTACAAATGTAATAAATATAGGAAAGAAACGCTCCATTATAAACTATCTTTCCCATACTTCTCCAGGATAATTGTGGGACTTCTTGGTCTGGCAGGAACTAGGTCAGATTTCTCCAGATTTTTAGAAGTAATACTAAAATACAATATTTAGTTACGATGTTATCCTTCACGTGGAATACACTTTTCCCATTAGCGCTGGTTTGCTCTGTGTATGGAAAGGCTGTCACTGGAACAGGAGACAAAACTCCCATTAATATTAGCAATACAGGAGCCATCTCACAGATGCTTTTGCCTGGCTCTCAGTCATACACAGTGTGACAGGAAAACAAGTAAGATTGATCATTGAGCATCATGCCTACAAATCGTAAAAAGCCAGTTGCATTTTTAAACATTTTTAGTGCGTGGTAGGGAATGTTTTAATAAATGAGTGGGCGAGGGTTGTCCCCGGTAGCATTTTCAAACTACTACCAGAAGCTCACACATGAGAATTTTATGGGGTTCTCTTTAGGTGCCTCTCGAGTACGACCAAGTCCTTATCACAGGGCTGCATGTGCGTGCCTTGGGTTGGGAAGGAGGTACGGATTCTCGGTATTCAAACAAATTTGCCCATTTGGATGAGCTTTTCCTTTGCCACTTGCAAAGAAGCAGCTTATCTCCGGTTGCTTCAGGCTTTTTTTAAAACTTCACCGAACTTATACGTTCAGAGACGTGAGCAATTTTCAGCTGAGCATCTTTTTTTTTATTTATTTTATTTTCATTTAAGCTCCAGTAACGACACCTAAGCAAAATCTTCAGGTACCAACAGTGCTCGGCACGTAGCGGCTCTGTTTTAGAGAAAAAGCACAGTTACAGGCTGCGCAGGGTGGGTTTGGGGGTTTTTG